CCCAGCTAATTTTTTGTATTTTTAGTAGAGTCGGGGTTTCACCATGTTGACCAGGATGGTCTCGATCTCTTGACCTCGTGATCCACCCGCCTCAGCCTCCCAAAGTGCTGGAATTACAGGCTTGAGCCACCACACCCGGCCTTAGAACAGTTTTAAGTTCACAGTAGAATCGAGGGAAGGTACTGAGATTTCCCAAATATACTCTGTGCCCTCAAACATGCACAGACCTCCCCATTATCAACATCTCCACTAGAGTGGTACCTTTGTAATGAGGAACCTACACTGACACATCATTAACACCCAAAGTCCATAGTTTAGGGTTCACTCTTGGTGTCATCCATTCCATGGGTTTGGAGAAAAGTATATAATGTCTATCTACCATGAAAATATCACAGAGAAGTTTTACTACCCTAAAAATCCTGTGTGCTCCACTTACACATCCCTCATTTTCCCCTCCATCCTTGTTAACCACTGATATTTTTACTGTCTCCATAGTTTTGCCTTTTCCAAAATGTCATACAGTTGGAATCATACAGTAGGTAGGCTTTTCAGATTGGCTTCTTTCACTTAGTAATATGCATCTAAGTTTCCTCCACATCTTTTCATGGCTCAGTAGCTCACTTCTTTCTAGCACTGAAACCAACTCTGCTGGATCTTGATCTGGGACGTCCAGCTTCCAGGACTGTGAAAAATAAATAAATATCTGTTGTTTAAGCCACCCAGTCTATGGTATTTTGTTATGGCAGCCTGAGCTGGCTAACACAGGACCTAAACCTAAGAACTGAAGAGGGCTTGAATACTTATGATATACACATTTCAGCAATAATGAAATATCTAAACAGAAACCTGTCAATTAATTCATTTGGGAAATAATATTGATTGAGTCATTGATTGAGTGACAAAGACAATCCATCCCTGCCTTCGTGAACTGATTAATAATATATTTAGGTAGAAAAATATATGCATACACCAAGTAATAAATAACAATGCCAAATAAATATGGCAAATATAAACCACAGACATTTAAAAAGGGAGAGGTGTTTTGTTTGCTTTATCCCTCTTTTACTTCCATTTACTGCTTCATGAAATGCCACAGTATTTGAATAAATATAATGAATCCAAGAAATTCACCAACTCTTACTAGAATTCTTAAATTATGCAAATGAAATACACAATTCTTCTAAACCTTACAGATGAGATAATGATGACTAGCTTTGTTACTCATAAAAGAAAAATATCAGCTTTGTTAAATCAATCAAGATTATATAATAAGAAAGAAAAAAAATGCCTTTTCTTGTTGAACCCTAAGTTCAGGTTAAGGCTGCTCATTGGGAATAGCTTACATAATGATTAAACTATATAATATATAATACATATAATATATAATATATAATGTACACATATATAATATATACTATAGAATGTACATCATTTGAGAAGAAAATGCTAACATACTTGGGACTGTTGGCTGTTGCTAGATATGTAGAATGTCCTAAAATAAAAAATCGCCAGGAGAGCTGGCTCATGACTGTAATCCCAGCACTTTGGGAGGCCAAGGAGGGCAGATCGCTTGAGGTCAGGAGTTCAAGACCAGTCTGGGAAACATCTCAAAACCCTGTCTCTACTAAAAATACAAAAATTAGCCAGGTGTGGTGACATGTGCCTGTAGTCCAGCTACCAAGGAGGCTGAGGTACGAGAATAGCCAGATTGCCTGAACACAGGAGGCGGACACAGCAGTGAGCCAAGACCGGGCCACTGCACTCCAGCCTGAGCAACAGAGCAAGACTCTGTCTCAAAAAAAAAAAGAAAGAAAAGAAAATCATAACTGTATAAGCAGAATATCTCAATCTAGGTGCTTATAGCAAAAAGCACATTTTAAAAAATGTATCACACTCTTATTTAAAGACATTTCTGGTACAACAATAATTTATATTGTAAATACTATGAATTTTATGCTTATAGAAGTTTCCATAGTTATAAGGATAAACAAATTTTGATATAAAAAATAACCAGCTGTCGGCTGGGTGTGGTGGCTGTAATCCCAGCACTTTGGAGGCCAAGGCAGGCAGATCACGAGGTCAAGAGATGGAGACCATCCTGGCCAACATGGTGAAACCCTGTCTCTACTAAAAATACAAAAATTAACTGGGCACAGTGGTGCACACCTGTAGTCCCAGCTACTTGGGAGGCAGGAGAATCACTGGAACCCAGGAGGCGGAGGTTGCAGTAAGCTGAGATTGTGCCACTGCACTCCAGCCTGGCAACAGAGCAAGACTCCATCTCAAAAAAACAAATAAAAATAAAATAATCATCTGTCAAATAAAAGCAACTCCTACATCCTGTGCTTTTAACTGGTCTCTACACTGCTATTCTTGCTCCCTTTGGACATGATCATTAGAATAATATCTTAAAACAAAAATTGGGCCGGGTGTGGTGGCTTACAACTTTAATCCCAGCACTTTAGGAAGCCCAGGCTGGCGGATCACTTGAGGTCAGGAATTTGAGACCAGCCTGGCCAACACTGGTGAAACCCTGTCTCTACTAAAAACACAAAAATTAGTTGAGCATAGTGGCAGGTGCCTGTAATCCCAGGTACTTGGGAGGCTGAGGCAGGAGAAATCGCTTGAACCCTGGAGGCAGAGGTTGCAGTGCGCTGAGATTGCACCACTGCACTCTAGCCTGGTTAACAGAATGAGACTCTGTCTCAAAAAAAAAATTACATAATGGTAATCCCTTGCCAAAGCTACCCAATGGAATAAATGGAAACTTTTTAAAATGGCCTCAACCTTCCAAAGCCCTATTATTCCTCTAAATATCACCTCATGCTGTTGTACCTCTTTCGCTGTGCTTCTGCTAAATGGGATTCTGTCCATTCCTCCAAAGTAGGAAGGAATCTGTTCTGCCAAGTATCTTCCTGAATTATTCTCCCCATTTATCCTCTCCGTTTGGTGGTCAACTCCCTGTCATCCTTCTAATCTCAGCTCAATGGCACCTCCCTCACCACTCATTTGAAAGCATCCCCACTATATTCTGTTTAAGCCTCTGCTTTAAGTGTCATCTACTCTGACCACCTTATTGAAAATTGCAACTTCCTGTCTTCCACTCCATAACATCTTTTTTTTTTTTAATTTCTAATGGGAATAGATTATCTTCTTTCTCTCTAGCACTTATAATTTTTTTCTGAGACAGAGTCTCGCACTCTCGCCCAGACTGCAGTGCAGTGGCTCAATCCCCACTCACTGCAACCTCCTCCCCCCAGGTTCAAGCGATACTCCTCCCTCAGCCTCCCGAGTAGCCGGGATTACAGGCACCTGCCACCACGCCCAGGTAATTTTTTGTATTTTTAGTAGAGACAGGGTTTCACTGTGTTGGCCAGGCTGGTCTCAAATGCCTGACCTCATGATCCACCCGCCTTGGCCTCCCAAAGGGCTGGAATTACAGGTGTCAACCACTGCACCCAGCTGCATTTATCATTTCCAAGTTACCATAAAATACACCTACTTCATGTTTATTGTCTAGTTCCCTCTCTAGACTACAAACTCTAAGAAGGCAGAGGTTTTTGTCTGGTTCACTGCTGTAGCCACAGTGCCTAGTAGGACGCCTGACACATGTAAGTGCTCAGCAGTTACTTTCATAGCATTTGTTGTTTGCATATTGACTAATGACTCATTGAAAGTCTATCTCCCTCTCTAGACCCTAAGCTCCGTGAGTGCCGATTCCCATATCTATTTTGTTCACCATTGTATAATCAGTGTCTAGTACATGGCCTCACACATAGCAGGTGCTCAGTAAAAACCATTGTATAAATAAAGGCCTAAATTGTGTGAGAGGCTGGATCGTTAAGGCACGTCAATCCAACACTTGTGATTCTTAGTCTTTTTAAAGATGGTGCAGATACTGTACTTATAGATTGGCCCATGTCTACTTTCCTATATGTAATATTCACAATTACTGAGAATATAAGGATAATAACTCTTGTGGCTTTTTTTCTTTTTTTGAGACAGAGTCTCATTGTCACCCAGGGTGGAGTGCAGTGGTGCTATCTTGGCGCACCTGCAACTTTCACCTCCTGGGTTCAAGCGATTCTCCTGCCTCAGCCTCCCGAGTAGCTGGAATTACAGGTATGCACCCCCATGCCCAGCTGATTTTTGTATTTTTTAGTAGAGACAGAGTTTCCCCATGTTGGCCAGGGTGATCTCAAACTCCTGATCTCAGATGATCTTCCCACCTCGGCCTCCAAAAGTGCTGAGATTACAGGCGTGAGCCACCATGCCGGCCAAGGATAATAACTCTTGAATCCTTTCAATACTAAATATTTATTGAATGTTTACTGTGTCCCAACCCCTAGGCCAAGTGCCAGAAATACAACAATGAAAGAGAGACACATTATCCAGAGTCACCAGGGAGCTTACATCCTAATGAAGGAGACAGACAGTACACAAGAAAACAAATCAATTAAAAAATATAAACATCTGAGTGACTCTGCATTAGATAGGAAAGGCCACTCTAAGAAGGTGCCAACTGAGCTGAGGCCTGAAAGAAGAGAAGGAGCTAGATTTCTGAAAAGCTTGGGAAAGAACATTCAGACAACAAAGACAGCAAATATAAAGCCTCTGGGATGAGAAACAGTGGACCTGTTTCTCTGGCAAGTCCTGAGAGAAAAGTGAGGGATTAGCTGAGCTGAGAAAGGCAGGCAGGGACAAAACCTCAGCCCCTGGAGAGTATCAGAATTCTGAAGTGTATTCCAAAAGCAATGGGAAGCAAGAGAAAGACTTTAGAAGGGATTTATAAAGATCATCCTGACTGCTAGGTGAAGAACAGATTTGAGACAGAGTGGCTGCAGGGAAAATGTGAAATGGTGGTGATTTGGACTAGAACGCTGGTAGTGGAGATGGGAAGATGAAGTACAAAGACAGGAACTATTTAAATACAAATGTATAGGCCTGGCACAGTGGCTCAAGCCTGTAACCCCAGCAATGTGGGAGGCCAAGGTGAGTGGATCAGCTGAGGTCAGGAGTTTGAGACCAGCCTGACCAACATGACGAAACCCCATCTCTACCAAATATACAAAAATTATACAGGTGTGGTGGTGCGTACCTGTAGTCTCAGCTACTCAGAAGGCTGAGGCATGGGAATTTCTTGAACCTGGGAGGCAGAGGTTACAGTAAGCTGAGATCATACTACTGCACTCCAGCCTGGAGTACAATGAGACTCCCTCTAAATCAATCAATCATGTAGACTAGGTATATAATAGGCTCTCCTTGGTCAATTTTTGGTTCTCATCTTGGCCAGTCAGCAGGATTTGTGACAGCTGATCATTCCTTTCTTCCTGAAATACTTTCTCTACTTGCTTCTAGTACACCAGGCACTTAATGGTTTTCCTCTACCTCCCTGGCTGCTCCTTCTTAGTCTCTGTTGGTTTCTTCGTAGTCCCTCTTTCTATCCATGTTGGAGCATCCCAGGGCTCAATCCTTGGACTCTTCCTTTCTCCATTTACACACACACTCCCTTAGCTATTCATCAGGTGTCATGATTTAAATATCATATGAATCCCAAATGTAGATCTCATCTGACTTTCAGATTCCAATGTCCAACTACCTACATGATAGCTCCACCTGGATGCCAAATCGCATCTCAATTTTAATAAAATTAAACTCTTGATCTCCCTCCCTCTTGCTCTTCCCACAATCACAGTCCCACCCCAGGTCTTTCCCATCTGCCATTCTCCCTGTGTAACCTCCTCTTTACACAAAAATCCTCATCAATTGCTCCCATATATCTTTATTATCTTTCTCAAAAGGGACTTTTCCTGACCTTCCCTAACCATGCTTCCCACAACCCCATTTAAAATTACAGCACTCAGACCAGGTGCGGTGGCTCATGCCTGTAATCCCAATACTTTGGGAGGTTGAGGTGGGAGGATCCCTGAGCCCAGGAGTTCAAGGCTTCAGTGAGACAGGTTTGAGCCACTGCATACCAGCCTGTGTAACAGAATGAGAACCTGTCTCAAAAAAAACAGATAAAATTGACCGGGCACAGTGACTCATGCCTGTAACCCCAGTACTTTGGGAGGCCAAGGCAGGCAGATCACGAGGTCAGGAGTTCGAGACCAGCCTGGCCAACATAGAGAAATGCCATTTCTTCTAAAAATACGAAAATTAGTCAGGCGTGGTGGCGGACACCTATAATCCCAGCTACTTGGGAGGCTGAGGAAGGATAATCACTTGAATCCAGGAGGCAGAGGCTGCAGTGAACCGAGATTGTGTCATTGCACTCCAGCCTGAGCAACAAGAACAGGGCTCCATCTCAAAAAATAAAAATAAAAAATTGCAACATTCATCTCATATCCTCCATCCCCATTCCTGGTTCTATTTTTCTCCCTAGCAGTCATCTCCTTGTAAAATTATTTACTTACATACTTGTTTAGTGGTTGTTTATGCTCGCAAAAACATATGCTTTGTTAACTTCATGTTTTTCTAGTTCCTTGAACAATACTTGATATACAGTATGTGCTCAATAAATTGTTTTTTGTTTTTTTTTTTTTCTTTTTTGAGACATTCGAGTCTTACTCTGCTTCCCAGGCTAGAGTTTAGTGGCAGAATCCCGACTCCCTGCAACCTCTGCCTCCCAGGTTCAAGCAATTCTCCTGCCTCAGACTCCTGAGTAGCTAGGATTACAGGCAGGCACCACCATGCTCGGCTAAGTTTTGCATTTTAGTAGAGACTGGGTTTTGCCATGTTCATATTAAAGGCATGAAGAAAAAATGTAAGTTAAAACTATTCACTATTCTGGTATTCTTTGCCACTTGTTTACCTTTGGAGGAGGAGAAACTGAACATTTCTACTGTTCAGTTTGCAATGTATTTAACCAGAAAAGAAAGATGGTAACATAAGCAGGAAAGAACCTTAAAAAAAGTTTGCAGTTTGCAGTAATAACATGGTGACAGAACCCCCAAAAAGGCATCCAGGCACAGTGACTCATGCCTGTAA